GATCCTATAGGCTAATCAACTTAGGACTTCCCTTTCGCAATTCACATGTGTTTAAACAATCTAAACTTCTTCTTCTTTACATATATGTGTTTAAACTGTCTAAGCCTCTTTTACTTTCATATATGTGCATTGGACCATCTAAACCTCCTCGATCATATATGTATTTAGACTGTGTAAATAACCTTTATTTGCAAATATGTGCTGAGACTGCTTACTTGTTAATTGACTAATTCACATAGTTCGGCCAGGACTCACCGTTGTGGACCGCGAAGGGTGCCTAACACCTTCCCCTCAAGGTTATTTTGAGCCCTTACCCTAATCTCTGGTAATGCAAACTGGTTACATGAGTTAATTGCTCTAGGTGGCCTAACGCACCTTAATCCGTTAGGTGGCGACTCTTCAAACACCCAATTCCCAAAAGGAAACGAGTTGTTCCCCCATGAATGTCGAAACCCGAACTTCCCCGCGAAGGAAAAATGGGGCGCGACAGAGTTAGTTGAGAAATCATCAAGCGGAATGGGACTATGGCCGAGAACAAGTCATAGTGGCGGTAACTCTACCTAGAAGACTGGAGATCCCAAGATCTAGGTTCAAGGAGATCAAACAAAGTCATTAATGACGGTTCAACATTGTCAACTAAACTTTTGGTCCATTCTCGTGATGAGACAATGTTCAGTACCAAGGATAAAGCATTAAGGCTTTTTAATGATTTCTAAATTTGATACGGGGTATATCAAATAGTGTATCTACGGGATGACACGTTTAGGGATCACCTATGTAAGTGTGAAGTGTTAGCTGCTTCAAGGAGAATTTTGCAAGGCCGGTTCTCATGCACTTATGAAACCAGGCGGTGTTCATGGCTGAAACGAACACAACAATGAGAACCAAAGACGGTTAAGGGTTGGTTGTGTGACTTATGGTTGTCTAGGTATACACCAAAGTTTGACGGTTCAAGGATATCAAATCTACCGATGATCGAGTATATCCGACATAAGTTCACTACGGAAAGTTCAAAGGGAAACCTACTTGTCCAGATGCAATTAATCCTTGCTTGCGAATCACACAGTTTTTCATGCATATTTCCGTGATATAGCCATTCCCCATTCATGTGGGGATTATTGGGGTTTTAAGTGTATTAATGCTTAAAAGAGGGTGAATGGAAAATGGAGGGAAAATAAAATATTTGAGATTTCCTCCTTGATGAAGGGACATTGTCCCTTATTGGAAGAGGAAGAGTTTTTAATGGTTATATAAGCAATTGCTCTTTTTCTAGCTCTTAAAGAGTTGAGAAGAAGGCAAGCCTCGCGCCGTCGTCGTCGTCGCTCGCTCGGCTCGGCTTCGGATTCTGATTTGGTCAAATGATTCATTGATTAATTTTTGGACCAAATTTATTTGTTAATAGTAAATATTAACAGAAATATTATTAAATATCCGTTTTAATAATAAAATATTAATATTAAATCCAAGAATATTAATATTAAAATCCAACCGTTTCCATTTTACCGTTTTCAGTTTTTGTAACAAAAAATTAACTACCCTATTCAATTTTCCCTCTTTATTGTTGAGTAAATATCCATTTATGTTATGGCATTTATGCTATGGCCGTTTTGCATAAACAGCCATTTATGCTATGACCGTTTTGCATAAACAGCCATTCTGAAGAGTTGCACCTCTTCAGATTTCAACCCAACATTGGCTATAAATACAAGTCCATCCTCTCAGATTTTTCATACGAATTTCTGACTTTCTCCTCCTTCTTCTGCATTGTTTTAACTTCAAAAAAAGCAACAGTAAGTGTGATTTGCTACCGAACTTTGTGTTCACTGAAACACTGGGGTTTGAAGTACCACTACACGAGTGTATAATTCGTTCTATCCTGGGAGGAAATAATCCAAAACCTTGGGTACTAGGAGGGGATTAAATTCCTCAAGGAAACACTGTGAATTCAGTGGGCTCGAATTAATTTTTGTTTCGTCTATATTTTTGTTTATGTTATTTTATATTTTTCAGAATTATTTTACAAATACAGTTTATAACAATTATTAACTAAAAATTATTTTTTGAATAAATTGTATTATTTAAAAGTCAAGCTCTACAAAATTTTATTCGACAAAAGCTCTTTACAACCTACAAATCTTCTCGACTCTCTCTTTCATTTAGTTTTATGCTAACTTTTACTAGTAAAATTTCTAATGTTGTTTCTTTAAAAATTATTTTAAGTTTAATTTATAATATTATAGTTCTATTATTTTTTTTGGTTAAGCTAAATATTGCGTAGTTTGATCTGAAATTTTTGTACACCATTCATCAATAATTTTTTTTACTTGTTTAAAATTTGAATTCCTAGCTATGCCACTAGTTACATTCTTTCAGTGTAGACAATTCGCATAAGAACTCTGTACTCTTATGAATAACTGTATCAGGATAGTTGGAAAATCATTTCGGTGAAAATGAAAAATCACTAGCATTTTAACAGCAGTTTGTATTAGGGGGAGTATATTTTATATACAAAACTCAAAATATGACCTACATGTTTCATGACTAGTGACAAGTCATCTATCTATATATATCTATATATTATATTAAATGCACGAAGGCCCTTAGCGAAATGTCGTTCGCCTTTTTTTTTTGGTAATTAAACTTTTTATTTACCAGGGAAAAATATTTACAAGTAATACGAAACCCATACATTCTATCCTGCTCTTCTATGTTCCCCTCCCCTCCTTTAACATAAACAGATATCTATCTATTACAAGGATACCAATTAAGGCTATTCAACCTTGCTTCTAAGTATTTGTTGTTTCTGCAGTGAACTTCTTGCACAATCTTCTTGCATAGTGCTTCCCATCCCCTTGCTTTTGCCTGAAATATGCTTGCATTTCGTTCTTGCCACACATAGTACACTGTTGCAGCTAGTATCATCTTGAACAGTTCTGACTTTGGGTTCCTTTGCTTGGTTAAGTGTATAGCCCATATCAGCTCTTGATCCCATCCCTGTATTCTCCTACTAACTCCTTGCCAAGTTAACATACTGCTCCATAGTGCTTTTGAATATTCACACTCAAAAAACAGGTGTTGAACACTCTCTCTCCCTGTTCTGCAAAGTACACATTCAGCCTCTACATGCATACCCCATTTCTGTAGTCTATGCTTCGTGTATAGCTTGCCATGTGCCGTCAATGTTAACAAGAAGATCCATCGTGGACATCCTGCATTCTGGCATACGACTTTTTTCTATCTCACCTTTTCAAATGTGCCACGCAACCTGTGATATATTGTTTTTATACTGCACTTCTTGATTCTCTTAACCTCTTCATAGCTGAATCCTGCCTTAACAAGTGTTTCCTGTGCTTTTAGTATCTTTCCTACAATCCATGATGCTTGTTTCACCTGCATACCCCATACATCTCTGCCTTTAATATAGTAGCTATGAATCTATTGGATCCACAACTTATTCTTTTCTCTGCATAGGTCCCAGTAATATTTGCATATTGCTTCTTTATTCCACGATGCTATATTCATGATGTTAAACCCTCCTGCTGTCTTGGGCATGCAAATCTTCTCCCATGCTAATAGAACTTTCTTAGACACATTGCTCTCACCTGTCCATAGGAAACTCCTCCAAATAGCCTCTATTAACTTTGTAATCTTTTTAGGCAGCACAAATATTTGTGCCCAGTATGTCTGCACAGAAAATAGGACACTTTTGATAAGCTGTATTCTTCCAGCATAGGATAGAAATCTAGTAGTCCATGATGTTATTCTTCCTACTATCTTCTCAATCAAGGGTTGGCATTGTGCTATGGAGATTCTCTTTGTTCTTAGTGGAACTCCTAGATATCTCACAGGTAACTCTCCCTTCTGTATTCCCAGGAAGTTCAATATCTCATCTTGGTTCTCTTGTGTGATTCCTCCATAGAATAAAGAGCTCTTATTCTTGTTGATCTTCAGCCCAGATACTTTTGAGAACTCTTGAAAACCATTGAATAATAATTGGACTGACTTTAAATCTCCACTGCAAAACAATAAAAGGTCGTCAGCAAATCCAAGTTGCAAGATTTGCATCTTTCCACACTTGGGATGGTAGTTAAAATCTGGATCATTGTTGAGCATTTTCAGCCTTCTTGTCAGGTACTCCATTGCAAGGACAAACAAGTAAGGGGACAAAGGGTCCCCTTGTCTTAATCCTCTTTTTGCTTCAAAGGGTCTTGTTTGAACCCCATTGATCAGAATAGTATATGTGACTGTCACCATACACCTCATTATCCATCTAACAAACTGTGCTGGGAAGGCTAAGGCATGCAACATTTGTTCCATAAACTCCCACTCTATTGAATCATATGCTTTCTGCATGTCTAGCTTCATCATGCACCTAGGAGATACTCATTTCCTCCCATACCCTTTAACCGATTCATGGCTGAAGATAATATTATCAGTGATAGCTCTTCCAGGTACAAAGGCAGCCTGAGTATTATCAACCAAATCATCCATAACACATTGTAGCCTTTTAGTTAATACCTTGGAAATCACCTTGTAAATCACTGTGCAGCATGCAATGGGGCTGAATTATTTGATACTTGTAGGATTTTTGACTTTAGGGATCAAAGTTATGGTACAGTTCACTGGTTTATACATTTGTGCAGTCTCAAAGAACTCCTCAACAGCCTGTGTCACCTCTTCTCCTATACTACCCCATGCCCTTTTGGAAAATACAGCATTGAATCCATCATATCCCGGAGCCTTCAGATCATTAATCTTTTTCAATGCCTCTCCTATTTCTTCCTTAGTGACCTGTCTGATCAGATGCATTTGTTGTTCTCTACTTAAAATTGTTCCCATTTTGATTACATTGGGATTAATAGCTGGAATGGAATCATCTTTTGATCCTAGTAGCTTCCTGTAGTAACCAAGGATTTCTACCTCTATTTCATCATCTAGAACTAACTGCCTTCCCATATCATCTGTTAGCAACTGGATTCCATTTGTATAGTTCATGTGCTTCATCTGTGCAAGAAGTAACCTGAATTGGAATCACCCAGTTTTAGCCATTGCACCCTTGATTTCTGCTTGTATACACTTTCCTCTATCATCACCCACTTCTCTAATTTATGCTTCAGTACTTTCTCTTTCTCAATTAACTCAGTGTCTTGCATTCTGTTGCTCATGTCTTCTTGTACTGTTTGCAGCTCATTCCTTGTCTCCTTGATTTTTTCTTCAAGCCCTTTGTAATGCTTTGTGTTTAACTCCTTAATAATTTTCTTAGTCTTCTTTAATTTGTGCCAGACCGTTTGCATCTTTTCAGCTTCCCTTCCCTCATTCCAAGCCATTTTAACTTGTTGAATAAAGAGAGGGTGGTCTGCAATACAGTTAAGGAATTTGAAAGGCCTGCTTTTCTTTGTATGCATCTGTGTGATCATCAACTTCAAAGGTGAATGGTCAGATATTAGTGGCTCTAACACCTGAATTTTCAAGCTAGGCATAGTCATCATCCACTCAGTATTGACCAGCCCCCTGTCTATCCTACTGTATGTGTGATTATTAGTCCGTGTATATTCCCTTCCCACATACTGTAGTTCACTCATACCTGTATCCATGATGTACTCCTTAAAATCTTTCACTTCTATGTCCTGCACTTCTGTTCCATGTTGTCTATCTGTTACATGTAGCACAGCATTGTAGTCACCCATTGCAAGCCAGGGTCCTTGTTGGTTGCTATTAATCTGTCTCAGCTTTTCCCACATAGTTCTCCTATCTTTGATGGTATGAAGTCCATATATTGCTGTAAAACCAAAGTTAACTGGTTTTGACTTCACTCTAATCTGCCCATGTATAATCTGCTCATCTACTTCACTGGGATCAAATATGTAGATTCTAGGATCCCACATTACCCATATTCTGCCTTTCTGTCCTGTTCTAGCATTAGAAACCCATTCCCAACCTGGAGCTATCTTTTTGATAATTTCATTGGCTTTCAGATATTTGACTTTGTGTTCAACTAATGCTATAACAGTTTTATTATTTATTCTAACAAACTCCTTTACTTCTTTCTGCTTGTACGTTTTATTCATCCCTCTAACATTCCAAGTTATAACACTCATAGTGGAATGAAATAAGGATGATGATAATACCACTGATCTCCTTGGCTACTATTCTGACTAGTACCTGCTTCTTCATTCCTTTGATCAATCATCAAACTCTGGAATCCATTAAGCTCATCAACACTGTGGCCCTCATGTTGCTTAGCTTTGGTTGCTCTTGCTGCTGATTTGCCTGCTACTGTGATCCAACCTGCTTCCTTATTTTGCATTTCATCTCTTCCTTGGTCTCGTTCAGTCCTTTGATTGACTGAACTTTCTTTTATCTGATCTTTCTCCTTATTCTCATTTCCTCCTTCTTTATCAGTTCTGACCCATATCATTCTGCCCTTGTTAGCCTTCTTCTGTTGCATATTTCTTTTGTGTTGCATTGGCTTCCTATTTTCAGCACAGTCATGTCCTATTTTCAAACACTTACTGCAGTATTTTGGCTCCTAATCATACTCCACCTCCTGTACCATCTCCTTCCCTTTAGGATCCTGTAGTTTCACCTGCATTGGAAGGGGTTAGTGATGTCCATTTCTACTAATAATCGAGCATATGAGATCCTAACTGCTCCAGTCGTACATTCATCAGCATAAATAGGATTACCTAGGGCACTTCCTATTTTGCTTAATGCAGTCATACTCCACCAGTTAATGGGTAAGTTGGGCAACTTAACCCATAATGGGATTGTCTTTAGAACTTCATCATGTAAATTGAACTCCTCCGACCACGCCTTCATAATAATTGGTCGATTATTGATTGTATGTGGCCCAGAGTACAAACCTTGGTCCCTTTCCTCAATACTGTTGAAACGTATAATGAAATAGTCTTCATTGTGGTATTAGATCTGAGGTTTCATTGAGTACTTACCCATTGAATTCACAAATCTGTCTATAGCTCCAATAGTTGGTGATTCTCCTATTACGTATATTACAATAGCATTTTTCCATTTTTCGGTCTCCTGTTCTACATCTTCAGCCTCTAGCTTCACCATTTTCTCACCATTCTGCACAATTGGGGCAATAAATTGAAGATTCATGCCCTTCATAGCCAATTTGTTCCCAACCACCATGTTTGCCCATGTTTTAGTCCTATTTTCAGTCTGCTTTTCATCATCTTTAGTTTTCTCTACAGTACCATAATTGCATGGTACTGTTCCATTCGTGTTCTTCTTTGTCCCTTGCTCTTGCCTCCCCGTCTCATCTCCTCTAGCAATAATTGCCATTGGAGCTGGGGTACTCATCCCTTCCTTCATTTTCCCTTTGCTTCTAGCTAGATCTCCTTCTTCTCTGTTTTCCCCAGCTTGCATGTTTCTCGATTTAGGTCTTTCCTCTGGTTCTTCAATTCGTAGCCATTTTGGAGAGACAAACAGCTCTAGCACAGCATTTCTAGTTGCTGAAGAACGCTGCTCATCCGTCACATTCTTCTGTTGATTCCGCTTGGGTCTTCCCCTCCCTCCCATGGCTTCCAAGCGCAGGTTAGTTAGCCACGTTAACTTGCGCGGAGAGAACAGTTAGAGAGAGAAAAATGTGACATATCGTTATGTTCGCCTTTTTTACCTTTCATAAGTGTATTTAAAGTTGGCTAAAGTTGTAAATACAAGTGTACTTTTTTTGTGGAGAAAAAATATCCGTATTACAAAAAAGGAAAAAGAAGAAGAGAATAAGTGGAGAACACCTTCTTCAATTAATATCTGTAACAAAGAGTAATTGTCTTAGGTTAACAAAGGGAAGAAAAAAGAAGCATTAATAGGAGAATAAATAAGAAATATTTAATGTCCTTAAGAGAGGTCAAAATTTCGTTAGTTCAAAAAGAAAAAATAACATGAAAATAAGTAAGAAACGTGTTATTATTTAATATCCCTATTGAAAAGCGTTAAGAGATGTTAGTTAATATATAGAACCTTTTTTTTTGTGAGACACTAGGGTTTAGTTCCCTGGTTGGTTAATGAATTCATCAACCTAATATGTTTGTTGATGGACTTCTTAAATACCAAAACCATAGAATAAAGAGGAACCGAAACAATAATTAAATGTAGAATACCCAATCAAGATATTTATTCAGAAGAACTTTTATCTCTTGCATGTTTATATTTTCCGGTGGCACTAGCATCCTTTTGTTGGAACAATTAAAAATATTATTATTTCTTTTAAGAGTTAGACTTCGTGTCTTTTTTATTTGTGGTGCATTCGTTATTTATGGTCGATCCTTGCTTTAACCTGGAACGATTTTTGTTTTGAAGTATTCTTTTATGTTCTTTTTTACTCTGCCTTATCAATAGTTTAGTATTTTTGTTAGGGTTGGTGAAGTCTAACCAGTGATTATTTTTAGTGTTTTTGCTTCTATTTATCATCTCTTTTTATTTTCTTAACTTGATATTGTCTGATCCATATGTTTTCTTTCTCCCAATTTTAGGTTGCGGATTCTAGATGATAGAAGCTTTTGGATGCTTTGAAATTAGCACAACAAAGTACATTGAGGTAAATTCTTTTTATTTTTTATTTTATTTTTATTTTTTTATATGTTCCTCACCATCCACCTTTGTAATTATGTTGCTGATATTTAAGAATTTAAACTGACATAAGATTTTATTTATATAAATCTTTTCGTTAGATTTTGGGCCTGATTTGTGAGGATACTTATGGGATCGGGCTGCACGCCGCAGCATGTTTTACTGATTCATGACTGAGTGAAGCCGATGGCCTGATTGATTTATGCCATGATTGGCTTGTTATAACGCTTGGGCTAAAGGAGCCCCTCCGGAGTCTGCACACCCCTAGTGAGCGCAGGTACCTATTGAGTGCGAGTGCCGAATGCTGAGTGACTGGGAGGCATGAGTGATGGCGAGGTTTGTCTGAGGGGCTGTATACGAGCGATGGTAAGGTTTGCCCGAGGGGCTGTATATGAGTAATGTTTGCCCGAGGCTCACTTTCGCATTGAACCTTTGTTCGAAAATTGTTGAAAGATGATTTTGAATTATTTTACTGGAACTGGATTTAAACAAGCTGATTTGATTCAAACTATGGTTTTAAAAGCATGCCATATTTTACTGAGTTTCTGTGATACGAACGTTACTTGCATTATTGCTTGTCACTACTTCTCAGCCTTTATTTACTGTTGTTACTTACTGAGTTGGCGTACTCATGTTGCTCCCTGCACCTTGTGTGCAGATCAAGGCGTTTCGGGTCACGGTAGTGGGTGTTGATTGTTCAGTTGCAGATCCATCGGAGTTAGCAAGGTAGCTGCTTGGCGATCGCAGTCATGCTTTCCTCCCTCTTTATCTTCCTTAGTTGTATTCAGTTATTTCCAGACTATGTTAGTTTTGATATTGTCAACGGTTGTAGTAGATGTAAATTTTTTAACTATTTAAATTATATAAAATAACAATAACTCCTTAATCTAGTTGCTGCAAAATAATAAAAACTAAATGTTTATTTCTAATCTACTATTTATCAAGATATAATGAATAAATTGATGTTTGTATGAATTTTTTTTTAAATTAGCAAATAATTAAATAAAAATATATTAATTCTTTTAGCTGGTTAAAATTCTATTTTTCCATAATACCCTGTTGAATCTTGATAAATTGGTCTAGCCATAAACTCGAAGGAAAACAACAAAATAAAAAGACAATAATGGGAGTAAAACTAGAGCCGGTACTAAAAGTCCTGAATGGCTAAAGAGCACCTGCAGAAGATCCAGTCAATTGCCCTTCGTATTCATTCTTACTCCTCTTTTATCTAACACTCTTTCTTTTATTTTTATTTGGTCCTCCTATTTTCATGATATTTAGAGCTTTTAATTTATTATTATATAATTTACAAGATCAAATTAGCAATCACTCTCACACGGAATTTTCTCATGAGTTCTATCTATTAATTATTTAGTAGTTTTTTGGTTCACCTTTGGACTATATGCAAATTGAAGAATGCAAAGCTTTGCATTAAAGTCAAATAGTGGTGTATATATTTGTTTGTACAATTTTAAAAGTATATGCTATTATGGTTTAAAATCATATTATAATTTAGTAATTTTATTGTAAAATTACTATAGACGTGCAACATTGACATCAAAAGCAAAGTACCCAACTGATTATTTTGTTTTTAGTACAAAGGTCTATGACTAAAATATGACAATGTTTTTCATTACATTGTTTTCTCGATTTCTCTGCTATTATTTTTATTATTTGCGTATGAATATGTTTAATATTTTATATCATAAAATTTGTGATTATTTATTTATTTATTTGTAAAAATAGAAAAAAGACAATAACATATATAACACGTACGAAAAAAAAATGCAGGAAGCTATTAAAATTTCTCCCATTATGCGAATCTTTTTTTAAAATTTAGTTTTGGTTACATATGTATAACAAACATGAGATTATGATTTAGAGAAAAATGCATGAAGCTATTAAAATTTCTCCCATTATGCGAATCTTTTTTAAAAATTTAGTTTTGGTTACATCTATATTTTATATTAAAAGCACGAAGGCCCTTAGCGAAATGTCGTTCGCCTATTTTACCCTTTAAAAATAGAGGTTACACTGGATAATATAGTCATTTAATTATTCCCCTAATATTAGCACTTTTAAGTCAACTAAAGATTTGCTTATTAAAGTTTTCCTTATTTAAACTACTAAATAAGAAATCCTAATATTTATGACATCAAAATAAACCAAATTGAACAAATTATTTATAGAAACTAATTAGAAACGTACATAGTATCAGATTTCATCAAACATTTTATGGTTCCATGAAATGCATACGTTTCTCCCAAATTAAAGTATAGTCTATATAGTTATTTTTCAGGTCCTTAGCGAAATGTCGTTCGCCTTTTTTACCCTTTAAAAATAGAGGTTACACTGGATAATATAGTCATTTAATTATTCCCCTAATATTAGCACTTTTAAGTCAACTAAAATTTTGCTTATTAAAGTTTTCCTTATTTAAACTACTAAATAAGAAATCCTAATATTTATGACATCAAAATAAATCAAATTGAACAAATTATTTATA